CGGGGTTTCACCATGTTGACCAGGATGGTCTCGATCTCTTGACCTCGTGATCCACCCGCCTCGGCCTCCCAAAGTGCTGGGATTACAGGCGTGAGCCACCGTGCCCGGCCTCATGTTTCTCTGTTCTAACCCACTTCAGCACCTCCGGACAGGCCGCAGCGATGGACAGAGGGTACATGACTCGCCCCGTCGGCCTCTCCACTCTCACGCTGAATGAAACCCAACAACCCATTTCCAAAGCCATACGCATACACACACCCGTGCACACGCATGTGCAAGTGCAGACACTGTGCCGGTGACTGAGATGGGGTAGCGTTTTGGGACACACGTGGAGATCCCTGCCCGTGTGTCGCATGGCGCACCTGTCCTCTATCACAGTCCACAGGACAGGCGGTGCTGAGGCCCCAGGGCCTGGTCAAAACGCAGACAGAATCAAATGGCCGCTGCTCACCTGGTGCGCGGTGGTGCAGGATGACACACACACATCACGAAGCAAAACGCAAAATCCAGAAAGGGGCCAAGTGCACACAGACATTCATGTGCGACAGGGCGGCAGCAAAGCAGGAAAGAAACAGCCCAACACTGTGGTATCTGACACGGGTCTAGGGAGGAGGGAACAGCCCAAGGAAAAACATCAAACGCAAGTCCCTCCTCCATTTCCCAGGTGACACGGCAGGTATGTCACGGCTCTGTGTGTGAGAAAATCAAACCCACAAACATTAGAAGCAGCACAGGGTTTCCCACATGCTCAGGAGCAGGGAAATGGCCCTATGAATCAGCTTCCAGAAACCACAACATAAGAACCTTGCACAGTTCCCCCCAAAACAAAGAAACAAAAACATCATTAAGTAGGCAGGAGTCATGAATGGATGACCTCTCCCAGAAAGAGAAGCAGAGGAGCTCGGTCACACCACAGCTTGAGAACGCCCGTCAGAACCGCCTGCGACTCTGCTTTCCCTTGCCATCCACAGGAGGTTGGTCCCAGGACTCCTGAGGATGCTGGAGTCCCCGACGTAAAACGGCAGAGTATCTGCACAGAACCTAAGCACACCCTCCCTTATACTTTAAATCAGCTCTAGTCTGCTCATGACACCAATACGACGTGAGTGCATGTGAAAAAAAAAAAGAAAATTAGCCAGGCGTGGTGGAGCACGCCTGTAATCCCAGCTACTTGGGAGGCTGAGGCAGGAGAATCGCTTGAACCCGGGAGGCGGAGGTTGCAGTGAGCCGAGATCGTGCCACTGCACTCCAGCCTGGGTGACAGAGAGAGACTCTGTGTCCAAAAAAAAAAAAAGGTTTGTAGTTTTATAAAATGGCCTGCACATGCTCAGTCCAGACGCATTTCTCCCTGGGCGTTCCCAGTGGACAGCTGGCTGACCCCCAGCTGTGGACCCCGACACAGAGGCCTCATATGTTTCTCACACATCACCCTGGGAAACGTCACACAATGCTCTGCCAGCAGGTCTGGGGAGACAGTGCTCCCACAACGCTTATGGGAATGTGAGTTCCCGAACTGCCACGCAGCACGGCTGACAGGGGGCCCGGCACATTTCCCTCTGACGTCTCAGAATGCACGTTTGTAGTGTTTGCTTTGGTGCCATGTGACTATTTTATAAAACTACAAAACTTTTTTTTTTTTTTTTTTTTTGACACAGAGTCTCTCTCTGTCACCCAGGCTGGAGTGCAGTGGCGCAACCTCGGCTCACTGCAACCTCCGCCTCCCAGGTTCAAGCGATTCTCCTGCCTCAGCCTCCCAAGTAGCTGGGATTACAGGCATGCTCCACCACACCTGGCTAATTTTCTTTTTTTTCTTTTTTTAAAGACAGGGTTTCACCATGTTGGTCAGGCTGGTCTTGAACTCCCGACCTCAGGTGATCCGCCCGCCTTGGCCTCCAAAGTGCTTGGATTACAGGCATGAGACACCGTGCCTGGCCCCTAATTTTCATATTTTTAGTAGAGATGGGGTTTGCCATGGTGGCCAGGCTGGTCTCAAACTCCTGACCTCAGGTGATCCAACCACCTTGGCCTCCCAAAGTGCTGGGATTGTAGGTGTGAGCTACCTCGCCTGCTCTTAAGAACCATTTTTAAAACTCAAAAGTAAAACAAAACAAATGAGCCTCTGTGGCATACTGAGGCAGCCGCGTGCCCAGAGAGGCCGCTTTGGATGACTTCCAACACCGCAACTCAATATGGACTCTAAAAGCAAAGAGAGCCTAGAGAGCTTGGCTGTCACATAACTCGCCGGGACCACACAGTCCGTGCTAACACTGACACTGTTCTATGTACAGCAACGTCAACCAAAGTTCTGACTTTCCGCAGAAAGACGAGACAGCAACAGGGAAGCTGGGTGAGAATCTGAAATGGAAACACCAGTGAGAACCCATAATGTACTTTCTCCTAAAATAAAGCCAGGATCCCTCTGCTGCCGCGGAAGTATTTTCGGATGAAACGCTGGGCTGCGGGACGAAGTGGGGGCAGGAATGACACAGAACTGGCACTGGGCACCCCCATCTCCAGCTGCAGCAGGGCCCCAAGTTCTAACGTGATCTCTCTCCTCTGTCCAGGCTCAGAAATTTCCATCACAGGAAGCTCAAGAGGACACCAGGAACCTGGAGTGTGTGCAGCATGCTGGGAATGGGGGTGCAGCGCCTAGGGGGGGCAGGTGCGGGGGCAGGCGCTGCTGGAAAACGAGAAGACGAGCCCCCAAGCTGCCCACACGGGGCGGTCTGCGGAGGCAGAAGCCGGCTGGGCGCCTAGCCTCTGTGAGTCTCAATGTCCTCCTCTGATAAAGGATGCCCTAGGGTTCCTGTGAGACAGGAGGACAATCCCCAGTGCCCCCAGGAAATGCTAAACCCTGCCTATCCGTGGTTCCTACCAGCACCATCATGAAGGGCAAACACCTTCTCTAACATGAGGTGTCTGTGACCGCGGAGGCCTCTGGGCTCTTCAGCCATGAGGTCCAGGCTCACTTCCCCCATCCAGCGAGCCCTACTGGCCAGCCTCCAAGGGACCAGCTCCCAACACACGCTGCCCCACGCTTGGCTCAGCCCTGCACGTGTCCCAGGCAGCGCTGAGGAGCCTGACCAAGCCCTGAGAGTGTGGTCACCGAAAGGCTCCAGCAAAACCAGCAAAGATGGGGAGGAGGGGCTGGGAGGACGAGACGGGGCCTGCAGGGTGGCAGCTCTGGTGCTCGGCACAGCTCTGACTGATGGGCCAACAGCTTACGTCATCAAAGAACCAAAGCAAGTTTTTAAAAGAACCTCACATTTTGAAAGACCAGAAGCAAATGAACTGTCTACCACATTTGACATAAACTCAAAGAAAAAATTTATTCCAACTGACCTCAGAACATGGTATTTGGACTCTACGTCTTGGTAAGATGTACCTCCAAGAACAAAAACAGCTTCAAATAAATAGGTGGTCTCATCATCAGAAGCCATGTTCCTGGTTTGTTTTTTGTCATTTTTTTGGGGATGGAGTCTTGCTCCATTGCCCAGGCTAGACTGCACTGGTGCGATCTTGGCTCACTGCAATCTCTGCCTCCCAGGTTTGAGCGGTTCTCCTGTCTCAGCCTCCCAAGTAGCTGGGATTACAGGCCTACCTGCACTACCACGTCTGGCAATTTTAATATTTTTGGCAGAGATGGGGTTCTGCAATGCTGGCCAGGCTGGTTTTGAACCCCTGACCTCAGGTGATCCACCTGCCTTGGCCTCCCAAAATGCTGGGATTACAGGTGTGAGCCACCATACCCAGCCTTGATTTTTTTTTTTTTAGATAGGGTCTCGCTCTGTCACCCAGGCTGGAGTGCAGTGGTGCAATCTCAGCTCACTGCAGCCTCTGCCTCCCAGGTTCAAGCAATTCTCCCACCTCAGCCTCCCGAGTAGCTGGAACTGTAGGTGTGCACCACCGCGCGCAGCAAACTTTTGTATTTTCAGAGATGGGATTTCACCATGCTGGCCAGGCAGGTCTCAAACTGGCCTCAAGTGATCCTCCTGCCTCAGACTCCCAGAGTGCTGAGATTAGAGGCGTGAGCCACTGCACCCAGCCGCTGTTTTTAAGTCTACTCTCTATACAACATAAAGCAAATATGTTACCAGTGCTAGGAACCAAGATTTTCAACATTAAAAAAAGAAAAGAGGAAATCCCTCCCACACCACACACACTGGAAACATCTGAGCGAGTTCTCGGCTCTTGCCTTTGAAATGGGCCTGGGGGCCAGACAGCCACAGCAAAGCCTGCACGGAGACACAGCCCCTATATGTCGCCCTGCTCCGAAGGGCTGGAGCTCCAGGCATGGACAGGACTGCCCTGAGGAGGCAGGCGGGGCCCAAGAGACTCATTCCAGGAGAGCCTGAAAGGCCCCTCTGTCTCAAGATGAGGATCTGTGAACATCAAAACACACGGGATGGGCGAAGATGCACCACGCTCACGCGAAGCCACATGTTCACAGTGCTGTGGTGGGGACAGAGCCCACTAGACACCGCTGCTTGGGAGCCCATCTTTCGTCTTTCACTCTGGAAACAAAGTCTCAAGGAAAGAATGACCTCCTGACTCCTCAGTGCCACCCCTCAGGACAGCCAAGACCCAGGCATGGGCAGAGGATACCTCTTGGGGCCACCTCCAGGCTCCACCAGAAGGGTAGACACCTCCACAGCCTCGTAGACACCGGCCCCAGGCAGGTGTCCTAGCCCCTGAAGGGGCATCTCAGCAGCCACAGGCTCCATGGCCTCCCAAGGAGACAAACCCAGCAGGCTTCTAGCGTGAGCTTCAGGCTCCAGTGAGGGGAAAGGACGCTTTCAGGAAGCGCTCAGCCGAGTTCCCAGGGCAGGACACGTCACACAGACAGGTGGGGAGACAGAACCCCGTCCCCTGCCCTACCCATTTCAGGACTCAGACTGTGACCTATATTAAACGGAAGCAAACCAGAAAGACAGGCACACAGCTGTGGGGCTGAGCTTGCACGCGGGCTCGGCCACCTGGGCCTCCTGCTGCTGCCCAGATGGGGATGCCACCCACACGGCCTCTGCATCTGACCTCTGACCTGACACACTGAGCAGGTGCCACAGCCCCTTCCGGAACTCCAGCCTCTGGATGAGCTACCCTCACCTCCAACAAGGGAGGCAGTTTGAGAAAACGTCTCCACCTGTATCTCCCAGCTTCCTTTCCTAAAGGTGTCGTCTGCAGCAGTTAACGCTCAACTGGGCGAGAAGCTGTTTTCCTGCCAGAACTAAGGACGTCAGGGATGAAGTTCTGCCGGCTGAGGCACCGGCATTTCCCGGCTGTGGCAGCAGACCAGTCTAGGGCACCTGTCTCCACCCCGACCACCTGCTGCAAACACTCAGCTTCAAAATCAATACCAACATTTCTTGAAGCAGCACATGGAGGTTGATGAAAACATTCACGTTTCATGTTCAGGATAACTGGGAAGTGACTTGCCCAAAAGTCAGCAGCTGTGTACACTGGAGGATGAAGAGGACTCAGGACTCAGCCACCTGGCCACCAACCCACCAGGAGAGCGGCCGCAGCCCTGAATGCACCCATGAGCAGACGCTACGGAAGCTTTGCACGCCGCTCCTGTGGGCACTAAGGTCGTCACCTGCCCCAACCTCACCCTACAGGACCCTCACTGCCAACTCATGGGCCCCGCCCCGTGGTCCTCAGAGGGTGTGAGGGACACTCACCTTCTCCCGGGGGATCTTCTTCTTGCCGCAGCCGTCACAGGTCAAGGGGAACTTGGGGCAGACCTCGTGGTGCGCCTTGAAAAGAAGCAGTCAGGGGCGTGAGGGCGGACGCCAGTACCAGGCACAGGCCAGGCAGCGCCAACGGGCCGCAGGAGCACGTGGTCACCCTCAAGCCTCTCAGGCAGCGCTCTGCCCAGGCAGGATCCTGCCAGCACCGCCCCGGAGCCTCAGAGAGCTTAACACTGCTTGTTCTGCAGCTCCAGGGCAATGTGAGGGAGGCCCAAGCCATCAGAGGAGACTCAGAGGCCACATGAAACAACAGCCCACATGAAAATGGGGAGTCTGGCGGGAGGGTCTGGTGGATGGGCCGGGCTGGCCGCGTGCAGGATGTCCCCAAGACAGACCCTGACATGCTACTGCAGGGGGCCCGGTGCCCCAGACGTGCTGTGGTCAGGCCCGTCCACCTCACAGTCTACAGGGAAGGGGGGCGAAGGAGCACCTGGTGCCTGGGGACAGGTCCGGGAATTGGAGTTCCTGAAGGACAACAGCCCAGGAAAAAGGATGCTACAGGGGCCTGCCAGAGGCTGAGAGAGACCCACAGACATCTCAACCAAAGGCAAGAACGCTGTGTGGACCGTGGTTCAAACAAGCCAAGGCAAAGACACACAACAGGGACGCAGACTGGGCGTGAAGGCCGTGTGAGCATCGCGGCTGTCTCAGGCGTGGCGCTGCACGCAGAAGCACGCAGAAGCTGGTGGTGCACAGCTCTGAGCACCGCAGAAGCACGCGCTCACCAACTCTTCAGGAGACACCAAGTCAGGCTTGAGCAACTGTCTGGGGAGTGACGCCCAGGCCGGGCGAGGAGGGCTGCACACCCGCCTCTGGGCTCTCTGCCTGACGCATTTAGGCTTTGCTAACATAAAAATGCCGTTTTTTTTTTTTTTTTTTTTTTTTTTTTTTTT